ATTGTAGCATTTGAAACAATGGAAATCCTAGTCTTTTTCGGGAAAAAACGATAGGTAATCACTGGTGCAGATTACGAGCTGGAGGTGTAATTGGACCATCCTTTTTTGAGAATGAGTCTAGCGAAGCTTTAAATGTAAATGGAATAGGATATCGTACCGTGATGTTAATTGATGGTTTCAGTAGTATGGTATAACATGTCATGTATATAGAAAAACCATCGAAGGTGATTTTCAGAAATTGGCCATTCAGATTTTGGGACTTGACGCTATGGAATTTTTACTTTAGGATTTTATGAAATCAAAGGTTTATGTTAGGAAACCTCAAACAATTTGTGAACTGAAAACAGATATCCAATGCGTTATTTCTGAAATTAAGCCTGTCTTACAAAAAGTCTTCAAAACTTTTATCAAGAGGGTCAAAGTATGTCAGCACAGTCGAGGCAGTCATTTGACTGAGATCGTATAATGTCTACTTTATAAACCAATCAAAATTTCCTAATTAAATAATAATTTTAATGTTTCACTTTTAAATTAAAAGATTTGTTTGGCCCACTCGCAGCTAGTCCCTGACCGTACCTTTTATAGTTATTTATTCTTCACAATTTTGTTAAATGTTTCCTGTGCTTCCTGTTTTTTTGGAATACATTAATACATTAACCTATGCTTTGGAATTTTCCCAACAATGTCTTTGTAACATCGTACACAATTTCCTAAATTTATTCTAGTCGCCGTAATTGTAATAACAGTGCATTAGTAACAACATTTGTGTTACTAATTTGAAGCACACCGTATTAATACAAATGTGGGTAATCTTTAGAAACGTGTCCATACCTAGTAAAGTAACCGTGATTAAGCAATGCATTCCTTAGGTAACGAGACTCATTGTCTCTTATTATCTATTAAGTTAACGTACGATTAGTAATCGTAACAGCGATGGTATAGACATAGCCTAATACATAAATAAATAAGTGTATATAAATAGGTAGATAAACATGTATATAGATATAGAAACATTATACAATAAGTATGCTAGATCTAAAATGGAAATTCGAAATCTCATATGCTCTAAAAGAGGTATTATGTTTATAAAAACGATAATCGACTGTTATTGTGAATTATAATTCTGTAATTAAACGTAGCCATAAGCATAAATCCGTAATAAAATTACAGAATTGTATAGGCATCGTATTAATAAAGTATCCAAGAAATTACCTAATAATGGTAAATTATTACTAGCGGCTCAAAAGAACTTTTGGAAAAAATAAGTAACGTATCAAGAAAAAGCCAAAGACTATTTTTATGTAGCTATTCTAATTTATAGATGTATCTATTTCGTTTCTACTTTATTTTGAAAATACATTTCATTAATTTCTTTTGTTACTATCCTTCCGTGCAGTGTATAAACAGAAAAATTCTTAGAAAAAATGTTTTTCCACTAGCGGTTTGATTACAACAACAAACAAGATTTATTCTTAGTTTTAATCACTATTATTTTCAAATTTTTCACGTCTTTTGCAGTTCTTATTTCTCTGAAATTTCTAAATCACTTCATTTTTATACCGATTCACTAATTTATATATATTTTTTTTGATTTAGAATATCGAGTAATAAAATTTTCTTTCTTATTTTAAGGGAAGAAGAAGCATTGTGCAATAAGAAGTCCCTGAAAACATATCCCCTTGGTAAGTACTTAAGCATGTAATTTATTATTTTATTTAATTGAAGAAGTTGAAATAAACTCAACTTTAATAATTGCTGAATTATTACGATTATTTATTACAAATTCAGTTTATTTCTATGATAAATCATTTTCGCCCTCTTTCTGTAAATAAATATTCTCCATAGATCCTTGATACATATACATATATAAATATTGAATATTGAAATCAAATCTGCGGTTTCATTGTTTTCATTCTTCTACACGCAATCTCCGCTTGTTGATAACAAGTTGTAACGTTTCCATGGCATCACTAGTTTTAAAATATTTATTACCGACATTCGAGCATCATTGACCAAACATGACTCACTTCTATATTTACAATTTTTTTAAAGATGAACGAGAAAACCAAAGCGCAGAAACTGTCAGTCAACAAACTAGTCCTTGTTAGGAAAATGAATCATCATGTTTGTCAAAGTTTATTAATAATTTCGGTATCTTAATGTTAAAAACAATGTTTGTTAATGTAGAGTATGTACATAAATAATGCATTGGGGTCATAAATTAAAGACGATTTCTTGTGAATGGAAACTTATTTGGTTACAATACACTAAACACACAAAAAATATGCAAAATGAAGTTACACTTTAGGAATAACTAATCAAATAGTTGTTCGCCGATAGGTAACTTTATAATAGTTTATAGTAGTAATAATAATTACAACTGACAGAAAATGTACAAACTGCTCATGACAAATAAGTTAGCAATTAACACCTACATATTTTTGTAACTCACTGTGTAAGTAAAAAATCCTAATCCTATTAAATCGACATAGACTTAAGGATGTTTGGGAGGTATGTCAAAATGCTACGAGACAAATAAAAATTTGGAAGAACGTTCCTCATTCAATTCTAAAACTTCTGTAAATATTACAAATCGATTCACTAAACCGTTAAAAAGTTATTGAAATTTTAAAAAATTGTAATTTTACACGTCATTTTATGGAGATTCGTTAACCGAACAGATTAAATTTATTTTTATTAACAGAAAAAAAGCTACCAGAAATTTCAAACTTTTATAATAAGTAACTTGAACTCTGGAGAATCACTTTAGCGTAAGGTTATTCAAATTCACTAAATGGTTATCGAGGAAAAAATGAAAAATTAGCTGAAAATCTCGTTTTTACTTGATAATATAATGATAATATTTATAATTGTCTGAAATAAATGCAATTTTAAAGTTTTAATTATTATTTAAACATATTAAAAAGTTTTACGCTCATTATTAATAGAGATTGAAACTAAATATTTTTTTGTTTCGAAGTTGAAATCAAGGCATATTCACTGCCAAAAGTCAGTTAAAAATTTTCCATATTATTCGTTATTTCTTATTTTATTCGAAGTTTTTGGTCAAATGCCAAATTTTCTCTCAAGCCATATACTTTTTTTAGTATAGATAGTATTTATTTACCTCATGATATGCTGCAAAACCTAATTAATCACGAATTTCCAATTTTATGTCTCCGATTGTACCACCCAAACATCCTTAAATATCAATATGATCTATCAATCTATCAATAGGTTTATTCGTTTTTCTTTTAATAAGTTGGAGCTTTTTGTAATAATTTTACCTAGGTAAGCACAATTACCAAGCTACATATTCTAATATATTGTAGCCACAATTATTTCTTGCTATACCGAGTGTTCCCACATATTTATTAATAGTTTAAAAAAACGGCGTTATACCGTGAACTATTGCATATGAATAATATTGGCATTATGCGCAAAAGGTATATAATTACCTAATCTTATGATAAAATGCTGTATGCCGTTGATAACTAAACACAGTTTTCAATATTCGTGCATCATCTTCAAGATAGTCAGATCAGTTTGTACATATTTGCTTGACCTTATTATTCAAGATAACGCAGTCAAATAATTCTGAAACATCATCATATAATGTCTCAACTCTGCGTACATTCTGCTAGTAAAATGAAACCTTAACATAATATCTACTAAAGAAAATCATGACAAAGAGGGTACATCTTAAAGTGTAATAATAAATTAATAAATAAATAAATGTCGCAGATACTCGACAGTGTCAATCGAAAAAAAAATGCTGTCCACATTTATTCACGTTAAGGAATGTTGCACTTAATTTCTTAGTACCCGAATTAAGTCACGATTTTGCTTAGTACATGAAATCGGCAAGTCGTCTATTGCTTATTTTATGAATTAGGCAAAATTTTGCCGAGTACACACAATCGGCAATTATACGTATTAAGTGTAATAAATACACCAATAGAACATCTTTCCAAGTAATATACGACTGGGGGAATAGTAAATATATCGGGAATTTACAGTAAGGGCTCAACAAAAACAGCGAAATATCAATCAATAAGGCTAAAGGACGTTCGATTTTAAAAGCGAAGATTTCATTTGTTCACGGCAATCAGCGGCGTAGCACAAATAATCGGATTAATAATATGTTGTTGACAATTGCGGTTTCCGTTATGCGATGTTCATACAATCGAGTATCTACTGTAATTATCTGGCGTTTAATATTCTTAGTCTTAATCTAAATGTTTTCAATAGGCAGCAAAACAAGAAATCAAAAACTGAATGTAGTTAATTTTCCTGTTTGCATTTCTACAGAGATACCTAATTATTTTGATTGTCTTTAAATTACTTGTCAGTGGCACACGTATGCTGCGCAGCTGTTATTAGTTTATTTATTTTATTTAGAAAATTTTTACTGTGAATAAATGGAGATTTTTTTTATTACATACGTTCTTGAGCCTTTACGATTACCAGGAAGTTAGAATCATGTGAAAAAACTTAATCCAACGACTGCGGCATGAAAATTTCTCTTTAGAAATTGGGTCGTAATAACATTCGTATTACCCGCATTCATGTTAACAAAACGTAAAGAAATTTAAGTAAATTGACGCACCTTTCTATAAATATGTAGTTAGGTGCATTATCATATCAACCAATATTTATTTACAGAAACTTATTACAATAATTTTTATTATTACCTGTAGAGTACTCGATTATACTAGAGTGAGGCAAGTGGGTGCACAAAAGAAGTGAAAGTGCAAAAAAGACACTTGACTGACATTTCATCATGCAACTTNCCAAACATCCTTAAGTTTCTCGAGGATAAATATGATCGAAATCATTCAGTTTAAATGGAAAAAACGTAATAGATAATAGCCTTAGTTGCCAATTATTGAAAATTTTGAGTTCTATGTAATTATATTGATGCAGCATGTATGTATGTCGAATCGTTATTTGTATTTTATCATAGTATGGTACTTATGTAGTAAGTATAACAGTGAAAACGTGTGAAAAATTTTTGTCGTTACGTCCCACATACCTTGTTAGCGAAAATTGTTTTCCCTAACAAGCATTAGCGGTATTAACTGCTATAAATAAAAGTTATGATTTGTTTATGTCTTACATCATCTTTTTAGTGTACTTAATATTGCTCAACTTCAAACGCAGTTAACCAAATGTTAAAATTTCCACTAAAAAATAGTAAAAAGGTACATAAACACATAAACACTACTTTTTATTATGTAATTTTTCCATAATGGTTTAATTTTCACGTAAGCAAACAGTAAATATGTGTACATGCATAAAATAACTATAATGGAAATATAATTTTCAAAAGCAATATAAACTTCATTAAATACCTATCTACATAAATCAATTACAACCTATTAAAAAAGAAAGACAAAAAAATTAAAATTTGTAATTGTTACGTGAATGTTATGAACAATTAACTAGTGCGATAAAACTCATATTACCATCATTTTGCCCTAATACCTACAGTAATTTAACTTTTTTAATTAAGACTTAGTTCTTGTGACTCCATTATAATAGCAGACAAAAATAATACATGTAAATTATTAATTTTTTAACCGAAACCTTTCCTTCTGTTATTATTTTTTAATTTACAGTATTCATCATGATTTCATAAAACAAACGACTGCTGAGACCACTGAAGTGAACTAAAAGTGATTGCTTTGCTTATGAATTAGTACAGCGCATTGATTAAGAAATAATCTATAATTTATAATTTTTTTTATGCTAAAATGGAAATTCTACCAAATAGTAACATTTTCACATGTTTAGTGCACGTGTGCTTTGACTTTGTCTTAAGCTGCTACGGAAAGGTCATCAACATGAATAAAAATGCTACGTAAGTGGTTGAAGTAAATCAAGTAAATTACCTCTACCTGTCTATATGCGTTGTCTACGTATCGACTTGAAAGTAACATACATTACCATAAAAAAGATATATGTGTGGCAAGTAACAGGCAAAAATGTTTTTGAATTAACGTATACACCCATGTTGTTCACGATTTTAATTTTAAAACGTAGCACCCAATATAGCAGAAGTACATAGTGGACTTATTTTATAAATCATGTTACTGACAAATATTTTCGTTAAAATGCTGCTTGTACATTGATAAGAGCATTAAAACTTCTAAAAAGTAAATAACAATGAGAAAACAATAAAATTAGAAATGTGACATCAGCTAATAGAAAAATATTTTTTTTAACTGCCATTTAAACTCTTTTAGATACATACAGTTAGTTGTTTTTATCTTAAAATTGGAAAAATTAATATTTCCTGAATAATTTGTGATTGACAGACTCTTGTAAATACAATCCATTAGTTTTAGAGAAATAATTTTTGGTTTTATAACGTAAGGTAGACTTATTAACGAAGCATTTTAGAAAACCGTCTATGAGAGCAAATATTCTATATTATGAGATACTGAATCATGGAAAGTATTTAATCTTGGAATCTCACTTAGAATATAATTTAATTCTCAATGCCTCCAAAAACATATCTACCTATATTCTAATATACAATTTATAATTACAGGGATCCTTATAATAGTACAGACGTTCGTATTTATTTAAAAAAATAATTAATCACATTATATAACTGTTCATCAAAAATATTAGTAGATATCTTTAAGTTGAAGAGGTACAATTTAAATTAACTATT